GGGGGAGGAGAGGGGGAGGGGGGAAGGGGGTGCAACGCGGCGCGTGGGACGCTTTTGAAAGCCGCTGTCGGTGTCAGGAGGAAAGCGGGCCACCGATTTGTTGCACGTCAGGCGAAGCATGGCCACTTTACTTGTCGCATAGGCAAAGAGAGAAACGAGAGAGAGAGAGAACGGAGAGAGAGGGGAGAGAGGGGGAGGAAAGAGAGAAGAAGGGAGGGAAAGAAGAGAGGTAGCGAAAGGAAAAAACAATAGATACGATAGATAAGAATGGGAGCAAGCGAGAAAAGGAAAGCGAGAACGTGAGTGTCAGAGAGGGATTATCACGAAGGGGAACGAGAGTGATATGAAGGAGAGAGGAATATGGATAGAAAGGGGAAGAAAGCAACTGCGATGACCACGAGAGTAATGCAAATTAAGAAAACGATACAAACAAGGGGAATAGAGAGAGAGAGAGAGAGAGAGAGAGAGATACCGACAGACAGACAGACAGACAGACAGAGAGGGGGTGTACAGAATAAGAAAGAGTGGAAGAGAACGTGACATAGCGGTGGAGATTTGGAAGAGATAAAGCGGGAAAGACGCGTAATAACCGCTAGTACGAACTATAGACGCGTAAAAGACGCTATATAAACTAGTTTCGGATAAGATCAGTTATATCATTTCCTCGTCGTGTGAAAACATGACTAGAAAAGGCACCAGCTCGCCCCTGACCCGTTTGAGTTAGCTTGCATTGTAGGAGGTCATGTTACTAATATGGGGCTTTACGAAATGCTCGGTTGGTCTTTGTGGAAAATGGGAGCAAATCATGCTTTGCGTGGTTGTGTATAGAAATCGATTTGAAAGAGATTTCCATGAAACTGGAGCTCTTGTGTTTGTGGTACATGCCTGCACAACTTGTTTACATCTTTGTCGTTTTTTCTTTCTTTTGTTCTTTCCCTTCTTCTTCTTCTTCTTCTTCCTCTTCATTGTTATCTTCTTGACTTTTTGTCTTCTTTCCCTTTTTGGACCTTCGTCATTTTCCGCGTTTGCTTTTTCCAGGTCCGCTTCTTCGTCGGCGGTTTCCTATATCGCCACTGTTACATCTTCCACTTTACTATTTCTAATGGTGTGTATCAGTGTGTTGCAACATCTGTCCTATCCACTTTCATTGCGCTGCATTTTTTGTTGTCACGGAAAGTTTGAAGGTCGCGCCTGTCACATAGCTTGCCGGCGGCGCAAAACAAGAATGAAAAGCGTTCTTAGCGTTCTTTATTATTTATTTTAACTGTCCATTTATTTTACCAACAATGTTGTGTGACACCGATGTTTACTATGCTTAGAAATCGTGCAGGCAATACAGAACACGTTGCCAAACAAGTTTCACGTTTCAAGACGTTCTCAATTAGATACGTTGACGAAAGCATTGTAGTCGGTATCGGGATTATATATCTTTAAAGATTGATTATTCTTCGAGTTGACCTGCGTAATGACAATATTCCGACAGTAACATGTTCGCTCGAAAATCTAGCACAATAGAAGTGGTAATGTGACGTTTACGGGGTTTTTCTCATCAATGAATCGACACTCGAGGTACGCCCCCGAATGCTGATAGCCCGTGAAAGTCAACAACTCCGGTTCGCTGTTTTCTGTTGTAAATTCGGCCGCTTAGCCGCAGGAGTAACTTTCGACTAAAACTTCTGCCCCATGCAGTGATGGCGCACGTGAAATAGGTGCGGGAATCAATGATACGCAGGAAGGTTAATAATCGTCTATTTAATTACACGGGGATGGAAAGCACGAGGGAGCGGTAAATAATTACAGCAGGGGATAGCAGCTAGAGAAAGAGAGAGAGAGGAAGGGTGGGGAAACAGGCAGGCAGTCAAACACGAACGGATACACAGACAGACAGACAGACAGACAGACAGGCAGGCAGGCAGGCAGACAGACAGACAGACAGACAAACAGATAAACAGACAGACAGACAGATAAACAGAGAGGCAGATAGGTAGTCAGACAGACCGACATGCGGACAGAGAGACAGACAGACAGATTGGCAAATTGACAGACACAAACAGAGGAAGAAACGGAGAAATATACTGAAAGGGAGGAAGGAGGAGGTAGGGCAGAAAATAAAAAAAGAAGATGATGGGGAGGAGGGAGAGGGATGGAGGAAAAAAGAGAATCGAGAGCTAGAGTGTGACAGAGCAAATAAGTTAGAGAGCACGCGTGCGCGATTAAGCAAGAATGTGAATAAAAAGAAAAAAAACGAAGAAGAAGAAGAAGAAGAAGAAGAAGAAGAAAACGAAGACGAAGAAAAAGAAGAAGAGGCAAAATACGAAAGGGAAGAAGAAGAAAAAAGAAAAACGAAGACCGGAGAGAATGTAAAAGAAGAGGATAAGGAAGAAGAATAAGAAGAGAGAGAGAGAGAGAGAGAGAGAGCGCGAGAGAAAGAGAGGGGGAGAAAAATAGAAAGCGGGGGGGGGGGTGCAGAAATCGTGACAGAGTACATGCGAGACAGTGATGGAAACAGACAGCGATGAAGGGGCGTATGCTGGTGCGCAGCACAGACGCATAACTCGGCTCTCGGGCAGTCTCTGTGTGGTCATGCATGCGGGCCGCGCAGTTACCACGTCCTGTTCCGTCATGCAGTAAATCCTATCAAGTTATTTTGTGCACAGGCGCCCGTTTGCAGTTATCGCCACAGGCCGTGCGCGCACGAGCTAACGTTATTCATCTGCACGATACAGTGACAGTGCACCGGTTCAGTTATGGCCTACACGGTGGCGCCACAGTCATGATCTACACGGTGGCGCCACAGTCGTGAATTACGCGGTGGAGCCGGTAAACGCTTGTTTCCATCCCGCCCTCGGTCGTTTCTGGTGTGCAGGTTAAACTATGGTTAATCTCCGTTTAATTGACTGTATTATATTTTATTCTATTCGATTCGAAACGGTGAAAAGAGAGCTTCGAATATGTCTTTTACGGGCAAGGGCGGTTTGGGTGATGAAAACAATATGGATATGGCCAGGTCATACGTATTTAATACAAAGGTGCAATGCATGCAAACCAAACCAAAGATGAATAAGGCATCTAAGAACTCAAACAAAGATGAATAAGGCATCTAAGAACTCAAACAAAGATGAATAAGGCATCTAAGAACTCAAACAAAGATGAATAAAGCATCTAAGAACTCAAAACATTCTTTTAAAATATAACACAGTCAATTAAACGGAGTTTAACTTGCAAACCGGAAACGACAGAGGGCGCGTTGAGGGATGGAAACAAGTGTTTACCGGTGAAAGCCACGGTCATGATCTACACGGTGGCGCCACAGTCATGATCTACACGGTGGCACCACGCGGTGAAGCTATATGGTCATGATCTACACGGCATAGCCCCGCAGCCGTGATATACGCAGTGGCACAAAAGATCTGGCACGCATTGTCTTACTCTACATTGTCATGGTATAAATGAGGCTGCTACAGACATAACATAGGCAAAGATGCTTGCCGGTGGAGATGGAGCTGCCGGAGGGGGAGAGGTCACGGGACGCTCGCTGTCTAGACGCACGAGTAACGCTGGAATCCGCGTCGGCGAGGAAACCAGCAGTAGGCGGTAGTCGTCGTGCCCCGTATCTGATATAAGTATAGAGGGCGGTGGAACTAGAAATATTATTTTAGGTTTACCTAGTAGGCGCTAATCCGATAAACCCGAGCGAGCAACAACTTGCACGAAACTTAGACAGCCAATCGACCCGAATAAATAAAGAAAGAAAGAAATATATATATATATTATACGTACACACACACACACACACACACACACACACACCATCACACGCGCGCGGACACGCAGTGAGATAAATAGATGGATAGATAGATGAATTGATTTGGATGGATGAAGGGTGAAGGGATGGATGGTTGGTTGGTTAGATGGATGGATGGATATGGATGGATAGATGGGGGGGTGGGTGGATGGATGAATGGATGGATGGATGGATGGATGGATGGATGGATGGATGGATGGATGGATG